GGCGACACACGATCTGAAAGATTTTAAATGAAGGGTTGGTAGCGCCAGATATAACTTATTTATTCCAACAAATAGATGAGATTCGAGACGACCAACTGCAGTAACAAGCAGATTTTCATATTCACGTTGACGTTGTAATTCAGAATTATCAATGGTTTGAATTGGAGTAGCACTTTCAGTTGAAGCTGTGGTTTGATCTGAAGTAGTTTTACGAGCCATAATGAAATAATGTTAAAGTAATAAGTAGTTGAGTTTATTGAATTTTCGATACTATATAAGCTATAAACATTTTCAAGTTAATAGAGATTTCTAGATTTATTTATATTCTTTCAGTCATCTTAATTCTTAGATTCCTTTTCAATTCTTTTCATTCTTAAGTATGTATTTCTTTATAATTAATATTTCAATTTACTATATTTGGTAAATTGTATTTTATTGTTGTTATTTCTAGTTTAGGTTAGTAAGTACTTTTCCGTTTTATAAATATTTTAAAATAAGTAATTGTTTACTTATTAACACCGTTGACTAGACTAGCTAGACGAAAACACAATAAGGTTTAAAGGCCCTATTGGTACTTTTACTTGAATGGGTAAATATGAAATTTCCCCAATCAAGTATACACACCCGAATAAGTAAATCTTGTGCTTTACTTATTCTTCGAATTGTTTGTTTTAATAGTTTTCCGTTTTTATAAATTTCTTGTTTCAGTAATATTTGTTTTAATAATAATATTGTTTTCATAAATAAAGACATTGGATTATTTTATTTCAACACAAAGAATATTTTATCAATCAGATTTTGCCTACACATGACTCAGAACTGTAATGCAAACTCTAACTTGCTTCTTCAACCCTACGTCTAAAATCCCTTAAATGGGGGAAGGGTAGGGACACGAGAATGACTGGATGTAGAGAGTTTCTAATAAGAAATACCTAAAATACTATAGGTCAATGAGCAATTCATATTTCATTATTCATGAATTGGCTTGAGATATTTTTTGGTCGCTTGGTAGCGCAATGATTTTTTAGAAACTGTGACAATTAATTACAGAGGATAATTAATCTACATGATATGTCTGGAATAATATTATAAATCTTAGAAATTGGTTGCATTCATTATTATCATTACTATATATATATATCAGTTTATGCATGTTGTCCAGCTTTCTTCGTTGAATTTGTTTGTTGACGTTTATTCTCTTTGGAGAGTGTTACCCGACTTCCTTGTAGCTAAGCCATTGGATTACTGTTATTTCAACAAAACTAACTATTTATAGCCTTAGATGGTTAAGGAAGGTAACGGATACATTAAGAGAACATTATTACAAAAGTAAACTGTATTTTTCTCTCTTCTCAACTTATTTGGAGTGTTTCTGGTCTCGACTTTTAATATGATGATTATAATTTGGACGCAAATTACACATCTTTAATTCGGTTCCACTTTCAATCTAAGAGGAATTTATATAATGAAGCGCCTACCAAAGAATACGGCCTGAAGTCGCCAAGAGTTGGGGAGCCATACCGTAACCAGAGTCATGAAATTTTACTAAAGAGAAGTTCTTGTTTAAAATTATTAAATTTATAAAACTCTATAAGAAGTGAATAAATAAATAGCAGCCTAGTGTATCCTCCCACTTAAAATCCATACCATTTCAACCTTCTAAGCCAGTGCAATATGAAGAATCTAATGCACTAGATTGCTATTTATTTATTCACTTCTTATAGAATTTTATATTGTTAGCTGTTGGAGGAGTAGCAGTAACAGGAATAATAGTAGCAGCAGGAATTCTACCTTTGTGGGTCGCAACACCACCTAAACATGATGGTGTATGATTTAACGTCATTGGTGAACACTTGGATAGTTAAGGTTCCAGTTGGCCATGGTCCAGACAAATTGATAGCACCATAGAAATTTCTCCCAAACGATGCTTTCAGTTTAACTAATCAAAAGTAAGACGACCTTAACTATCTAATAAAAACTTCTTCAATATCGGAGTCTGGAATGTCACTAACAACTTTAGTATTGACAAGTTCTTGTCTTTCATACAATCTGTTTAGCAATTCCTTCGTAAGAAAGCTTCTATATCCAGGTAAAAACACCATAACCTTCCTTGCCAATTAATGTATG